ACTACATTGACTGTGTACTGTATTTAAATATTAAAATTAAAAAAGGTGAAACTTAAAGCTTCTATATAAGCTGCGACTACACTAGTTAGACGATACGAATAGATATGAATTTCCACCGCCAAAATCTATAACGACTAAAATATAAATATGCAACTAAAATATTAAAAACTAAGTAATATGTTATATATCATAATGATAACGTTAGATTACACATATGTTCATGGCACTGCAGAAATTAAAAGACGTTTTGATACATATACCATAGATTCAGTACATGTTACCAACAGAAGATTACTATTTGTTTGGATCTCTGCAAGATACTCTTGCTGTCGTAATATTGACTTATGTTAGTTATATTGGCAAATATTTACAAAAAATGTATAATAATATATATTGTAACTTATAACAAAAATACGATAAATTTCAATGTAAATATATCTTATCTAAAACAGCATTAGAGATTGTGCAAAGTATATGAAAACTATTCAAACTAATAACAATCTTAGACGAAACACTCGTAAAGTCATTAAGATAGCCTTAAAAACTTTATAGCATGTAAACTTGATTGCTTAAAACCAAATTATTGTTATGTGTAATGAATATATTTCGATAGTCATCGGAATGAAAGACATTTTTATTTCTAACTAACTAACTTTCTAACTAAATATGATAAATTGTCTAAAGTTCGAAGTACAAAAAAAGAAATGATCGTTTACATCACTCATTTTAAAATGACAGACTGCAAGTCAGACTGATTGAATCGATCGTCGGATATATTGGTTTATTTTTTATTGTCAATAAAAAAAATGTAAAAAAAATTTTAATTTCAAATATTCAATTATGTATGTATTGGTGTAGTTATAATAATTATTTTAATTAGTGTTGATTTATTATCAAAATAATTCATATCAGCGTATTTTGTAAGTGTTATTAAGTTCTTTATATTATAATTTTATATTTTTTTTAAATGAACTTCAAATATTCTCACTCAATCTATGTCTGTTTTAGAATTAATATTATCAATAATAAAATTAGAAATTCACATAAATATATGCAGATAATGAACTGTTTGAATATTTGATGACCACGCGGCACTGATTTTAATAATTCCAGCACTTCACACCTTATGCAAGAAAGGAATGAAATTAAATATTTTCACACTCACATAAAATTTTAAAATTCTTAAAATCTATTAGCTTTATCTATTTTTATTTTAATATTTTGTTAAATAATTAAAATTTAAATTTTTATTTTATACTTGATTAGCAACTAAAGTGCTAATATTGTATTATTGCTTAAATCTTTAATTCAAAATTGAATTAAAAAAAATATATTTTATTATTTTCTGGATAACATATATTAAATATTAAGTAGCAGTTGCAATATGTAGTCCAGTTAGTTGCAGTAGTGATAACAATAATAAAAGATTTGTATGAGAATTAAACGTTTTATGTTAGATAAGATTTTTGTGCGACTTTTCTAACTCTTATCAATCAAAATTAATAAGCCATTATACAAATTTTATTATTTTTTATTATTTTAATTTCGCGACATAAATCAAAATTTATAATTTTAGATACACTCATATGACACAAACTTTTATACAGTTTTATAAAAGAATTATTTTTAAGCGGAATTAAAGATTTTTTTGTTAATTTAAAAAAAAAACTCGTAACGCAACTTCGTCATTTAGACAATATTATAACCAATAAAGGTATAAGACACAAAAAATTGAAGAAACACTTATTCCAAAAAAAAAAAACCGCAGCAAATGTTTGAAATACCATATATATACATATAAACGTACTTTGTATCTATTATAATCCAGTTTTTTAAACAAATTTTTTGATCGCCAACCGTTTAGTACGAAGCACAAAATCCAACTAAACTCAACTGCCAAGCAAACGCCGAAATTTGTTTTGGTTTTACGTATTCACAAATTACACACAGAAATCGAGAGATTAAGCAAAGCGATCGTTTCAGCGATTGTCTCCAGCTGTGACGCGATCTACACTTGATGAACGATAACGCACGTTTCCACCAGACATTCAGTTCATGTGACATTTGAAAATCCTTTCGAAGATATTCATTACTTACCAGCAATGCGTTTATTGGGAAAATGGAAAATACAAGAGCACTTAATAATATTAGATTGAAATTTTCTCTCATGAAGTTTTAGTACGAGTATTTCGAAATTTGATAAGAATCCATGCACTACTTTTTATTACTTAAGTTTGTTTTCATTTGTAACTACCATTTAACATTTTATTTCAAACTAATCAATAATTTATTGAATATTTAAAATTATGTCATATGCCTATTAAATATCTCCAACCTTCACAACAATAGTGCTTATAATTATTGCAAAGAAAAAATTAAAAACATATAAAAAGTGGAAATAATGTATCGTAAAAAAAAATTAATGCAAAGATATATTTTACATACATAAGATCTTAAAATCAGTGGCGGAGCTAGACCAACTCTGCACGTCGGCGACATCAGAATTGCGAGGCCCCCTTTATAACCCAGTTGTAAAAGTAAACAAGTTACATTCACTAATACTAATTCACTAATACTATTTTTTTTTAAATTATATCATAATGAAGATAGTCTCTCTTGGACCATCATACTTTTCTAGTACGTCTTAAACAATTTTAACTTTGCTTCTTTCTTTTCGTCGAAGCTATACTGACTGGAACTGTGAACATGAATCTGATTACTATATAAACATTAGGGAATACTTCGAATATAGTTAATACCATTATCAAACCAAATTGCTCAAAATATTTATTAAGTGCTTAGAATCCACAGTCGGTAACTTTTTGCGAGGCCCCCGCGGCCGCGAGGCCGTCGGCGGTCGCCGACATCGCTGACGCCTAGCGACGCCACTGCTTAAAATACATATACATATTAAGTATAAATATCTCAGTGTAGAAAAAAGTGCGTTTCACTGTTACTATATTATCTATAATAACTCTGAGATTTATTAAAATAATTACTAGATTATAATTTTGTTATTGTTGTTTATATTATGAAACTAACTCTTCAATTGAAGTCTCACATATTACAGATTTTTACTTTATTTAATATTTATTTAAATCAAAGTAATTGTTAACTTAGTACCAAGTTGGAAATTAATAGGGGTATTCACTCTCTCTTGTAAACTCATTGCAAGGAGCACGAAATGCAAGAATGCTATACAAAAACTGCGAGAACACCTCTGTTGCAGAATTGCATCATCAAAATGAATCAGCTGTTTTTGCAGCCGTATCAAATTGAGCAAAGAAAAATAAAAGTATAACAATGCCGCGAACAAGTGAAATACAAAAATGTATAGATTTTTTTATTGAAAATAGTGCTTTTAATATTCTGATTGAAGGTATTAACATGTTGTTAATGTAGTTTTCACTACTATATAGTTTCTATTTGTTAGATGATGCAAATTACTGGGAAGTGATGGAGCAATTAAATAAAGACCTTTTGTTTACTTTAGTAAACCATCACAGAAATCACCAACCCGTACCAAAATTTATTCAATGGAGATCTACCATTCTTCAAGAATTTGATGAAGGCCGTTTTTGTCAGATGCTTAGAGTAAATTGGAACGTATTTTCCTTAATAGTCTCACTAATAAACTATTAAGGATTGCTATTGTTTTATATCGTTTGGGTTCATCAGGCGAAAATGCGGCTATTCGTAAAGTCGCTACATTATTTGTTGTTGGAGATATATGTAATAATAATATAATATAAAAATAATTGTTATAATAAAAATATAACTAATTCTTAATTTATTATTGTTATTTGTTATATTTTTTATCGAGGGGGGTAGTGGGGCTTTGCACAGCAGAACGCACGACTTTCGGTGCAGAGCTGGATAATGTGTTGTCTGCAGACGATTCAATAAAAAAACTTCGTTGCCTAGCGCAGAACTAGTTGGTGGCTATGGCAATGTTTCCGTACAAAATTAGACATGCGTCCAAACACTTCATTCAATAGTTCAAAATGTGAACAAATTTTCGTATGTTTCGCTGAAATTGATAAATAGATAAATTAATTCACAAATGTATATGTATATAATATTATATTTGTGAAAACTTAATTAATGGTCACATCGATTTAAATTATTGAACGAAACGCATGTATATAGCATAGCCATAGATTAACATATCTCGAAATTTTACTAACAGTCAATTCAAATTTAAAAATGAGAAGCAACAAATGACGAAACAGCTGATTTCCGCCATTTCTGGTTTGTTGCAAGCAAATATACATAGGTTTTAGTATTGAAAGATTGCACGCAATTGCACGAAATTTTGTGCGTGTATTTTGTTGTTGTTATTTGCATTCTCGTACAATCTGTGCATTTCGTGCACCTTGCAATGAGTTTGCAAGAGAGAGTGAATACCCCTAATATTTTATTCAGTAACAAAAACAAACACTGATGTACCAAATATAGTGTACTCTAAATGAACAGTACACTAAAAACAGTCTGAAACAAATCAAACAATTTTTAAAGTACTATTTCGAATATATCATCTAAAATTTTTAATGTTCGCGTTGTGTTCTCTTCACCCAAGCCTGAATAACAAAACCAGACCCATCCCTCACCATTTCTTAACTGTTGTTTTTGTCTCAAAGACAAAAATAAAACGCGACTTTACTCGATAATGATATTTATTTATTTAATATTTATTGAAATGTTGATATAATTTTCTTGCAAACCTTCCTCCATTTTTCAATTTGTCCGAAAGTCACTAGTTTCTTATGTTTTATTAAACATAAATCTATAAAAATTAACACCATTAGTAAAATTCTATATATATGTACATATATATAAAAATGCATTTGATTAATTATAATACATTTTTTCTAAAAAAGTCTTATTTTAAAAAACTAACTATAAATATAGGAGTAATTTTTCATTTTGCACAGTTATTTGTCAAATACGCAAATTAAAACACTACTTTATAACTTAGTAATTACTAGTTATTAGCTTTAATAACTATGAAATCATAATCATTTCCATTTTTGAAATCTAGAGTTACCATATTAAGTATTTGACGCATAATGGCTTGTTTGCTTATTTAATAAAAACTTCGTGTATTTCTTTTGACACTGGTAAACATGATTTTCGTACCATTTACGGCGAAAATCTTCTTCAATTTCAAGCAATGTACGTCCTCGAGTCTCTGGCAAAAAGAGATATACAAATATTGTAGCTAAAAAGGCCATCACACCATAAACCACAAAACAATATTTATTGCCAATTGCTTCCTTCATAAATGGATAAGTTTTGATACAGACAAATGACAAAAATAAACCCACAGCTACGGTTATTCCAGAAGCAGGACCACGTACTTGTTGTGGAAATAGTTCTGAGATCATAAAAAATGGCAGTGTATATAAACCGAGTGTGCTAAGCATTATAAACCCTACAAGTGTTATGACAGGCAGAAGTGGCACCTTGTTTAACCACTCACACCAGCTTTGGGCAGCTAAAAGAAACATACAGCAACACATTCCTATTGCTGATATTATGCCAGAACGTCTTCGACCTAATTTTTCTAAAATTATTCCCATTGGTAAAATACTCAATACACGTGTAACTCCAATAAGTACAGCACATAAAACTGGATCTATTGTGACACCAGCTTCTGTTGAAATTTGAACTGCATAAACGATTATCACTAAAACACCAGTTGCCTGTTGGAAAGCTAGAAACGTTATTAGAATTAGTAAGGGTTTATACACCTCGGGTAATTTCAATGAACGGAAAAATGATGGATTTTGTCCTCCCACATCTAATTGTATTGAATTTTTTAAAATATTAAATTCTACTTCAACTTCTGTATTTGTAATTAAAGCTATAAATAATCAAATTTCATTAATATATGAGCTGTTTTGAAAGCAATTTGAATTATTTACCAGACTTTTCCAACCCTCTAAAATAATTCATGGATGCCTTTGCCTCTGCAATACGTCCTTTAGAAATCAACCAACTAGGAGTTTCTGGCATTGGTATAACACAGAGTAAAGAAACAATTTGATAACCACTACATATCAAAGCAATTAATTGCCAGTCATGACGTATGAAGAATCCTAATAAATAAATTAATGTAATACCAGAGGCTACAGCAATCGATGTGCCCAATATAAGCCGACCACGTATTTTGGGCATACTTATTTCTGCTGCATATACTCCTACCGGAGCACCAGACATACCATTTGATAAACCTTTAGTTAAAATCTGTTTTTATTAGTTTTTAATTTAATTTCATATATGTACA